ATGAATGGAGATTAAATATTACAGCAAATTTAATTTCTAATTTGTCTATTTATAATCAAAGAGATTATCGCCTATTTCTCTCTACTCATTTACAATTTTTAAATGGATTATGTCAACTCTCTATGCAAACAGTAAATCAATCTATTCAACAATCTTTATTTTCATTAATGATTACTAAACAATTATTATCAGAAGAAAATTTTAATTTACATATTAATTCAATGATTAATGAAGCAAAATCCAATGCTCCTTCAACATTCATTCGTCTACTTTCGTTACTTCGAGCTACAAATCATGGAAATGCGATTGTCTCAGCGTATGGAACTAATTATCAATACTTAGCTGCTGATGATAGTACATTTCAGAGCATTTTATATACTCAAGCAATGATCTATGATGATAACTGTTCATGTCAGTTAAATTCTACTTGTATTATTAGTGCTTCATTTATCGAGATAAATTCGACACAACCTATAACAATTAAAGGTTTGAAAATGGGTTGTACACCGAGTGAATCATTGTTGGCATCAACTCTCGAATGTTTCTATGATCAATCATGTATTAATCTTATTCAAACAATGGCAGGATATAGTACATATATCACTCCAATTCCTCTCAACATAACTAATAGTCGATTTCTAATGAATATAACTGTGATGAATCTTATCAACGATCTATTTATTGAAAAATGGTCAGCAATAATGAATTATTCATCATATTTTCATAAATGTTCACCAATGATCTGTTCATATACATATATTCAACAACTGGATTCTTTCTATACACTAGCTTATTTACTTGGTTTATATGGTGGTTTAACTATCGTTCTCAAGTGGATCTCTCCGAAAATTGTTTATTTTATTAACAAAATTTACCAGCGCCGAAAGAAAACAACAAACTCGATCAAACCAATATCTGCTATTGAAAGTGAAACTATCGAAATAATGGACGCAAATAATATCAACAATACCACTGCATCTTCACAATCGTTACAGACAGTATCAACACATTCGTATGTTTCTTTTTCTTCTGTAATATATCAATACGTAATGTCTTATCTTCATAGGAAAAGTTTATTTTCGGTATCATCACATTACTGGATCTTTGGTTTAATAGGGTTTATACTTGTGGCAATAGGCATTCTTATTCCATTTATTTATGTTTTTCAAGAAAAAAAGAACCGTTCTGCATCAACAGGTACGATATCTTTAATGATTTTCATCATCGAGTAATACGAGTAACAGATATAGTTCGAGACTAAGATATATGAGAGTATTTGCTCACTTTTCATCGAATTTGGTCTAACTAGTGAAATTTATTCTAGTCTAGAACTTTTTCTATGTCTAAATGGACGAATACTTGGAATAATAAGCTAACGAAAGAAGATTTGTTTAGTTAGCATATCGTATGTTAAAACTATCTTATATTTAAGTTAAACAGAATTTTTTTCTTGTTAATTTCAATTTTGTCTTCTTTAGAATAAACAAAATCAATTGATCGGACAATTTCGAAAATATGAACATTTTGTTCACTATATATTTTTTTCAATTCTTTGGATGTATCACTAATGCTTTATTCTTATACAATTATCATTTTATTACATTATTTAATCTTTAAATGTTGTTTTCTGCTTTATGTAATTCCGTGTTCTCAATAAATTGCTTATTCACTATTTCAGAGATTATCTATTTAATATTTTGACATTTTCAAGGGAAAATACTAAAAATTATTGTATTGACGGACTCATCTAATCTGTGCTATATGGGTGTGGGTGTGGGTGTGGGTGTGAATATGTTATAAATATGACACCCACACCCACCTACCCATACCCACCCACGTATACCCACCCACACCCACACCCATACCCACCCACACCCATACTCACCCACCCACATCCCTCAAGAATTTCTTTTTATGAGTAAACTGATCCGAGTACTCACAGAGGCTTTTCTTCTTTGAAAGTTTGATGAGAAAGTGTGTGACATTTGTTTCATTAGAACAATAAGAACCTGATTAAAAACGAGTCCTGACAAACACACTATCTCATACATTGGAGTAAAACAACAAAAATCATCAAACTAATCATGACTTTTCAATGACATCAATCATTTTTTGACAATGATATTTGATATTTTATTTTGACTAAAAGCACGTTTGGTGGACAATCTAGATTTTGCACAATTCTTTTTTTTGCTCGGCTTCTATCACACTATCTTTTTTCTTTAACCTCACGTTCAGAGAAATAAAAGACAAAGAGAAATATAAATGAGTGTGGGTGTAGGTATGGATGAAGAGAAGAGTACTGCCCACACCCTCAACTAGCGAATATTTATGAGATTACTGTGTTACTCCTGTCACCACTAAATATTTGAAAAATTTATTTTTAGAAGATTAAATAAAAATTTGTATATATGTGAATAATTTTTTATGTTGGTTCATTTTAATAGCGTAGGTAATGATTTCAAAAGATTTTTGCATCTGTTGTGCAACTTTTGCAACCTGTTGAGCAGTCAACTGTACAGGTATCGCAAGACGTGCAGGGTGGAAGTGGATCCGTTTTGACGCGAAGAATATTTTGAGCAAATTTTGTGCCACGGAGGAGAGCTTTGATTTCATCACGACGAACAGCTTCTACTGTAGAATGACTTTCTAGAGCCAAAAATACGACCATCATAATAACCATGCATTTTGGAAGATTAAAAGTAATCATTCTTCGATTTATCTTATTACTTAGATAAAATTGTTTTTTTGCTTGTGATTGCTTCTTGACGTTATCGGTGAGTATTTATATAGATTTCCAAATGCTCGAACAGAAAAGGGGTTGACATGAGAGAATATTATGATTCGTAAACAAGTCTTAATGCCTTCGATGTTTCGTAATACTTTCTATTACGTGTTCGAAAAAAAAGCAAATAACATCAGGCTAAGGTTCCCATAATGTTATTTTTCAGTGCAATTGTGACTTGGAAACTTCCAAGTATGATTTATTCTGTTTGTTCTAAAAAAAGCAAACATCATCAGGCTAAGGTTCTCATAATGTTATTTTTCAGTGCAATTGTGACTTGGAAACTTCCAACTATGGTTTATTCAGTTTGTTCTACACAATAATAGAGCACATGATCCACGTTATCAGTGATCAAAGGATATATGCGAAGAATTAAACGTTGAAGAACATAATTTTCTTGCATTCATTTTTACAACTATTTGAAGTTATACTTTCTTCTATCATGATTTATCTTTTTCTCTTTTATGTATTTCTCGGCTGTAGGTGTAACGATATTGTTCGTATTCCAGATGAAGATATTCAATATCTTAATGAACGTTTGCAACTGAAGGAGTACATGAATGAAGAAGATGCGCTCAATACAATTGCTGAACTCGAAAACTTTTATACTGCAATAAAACTTGGAATCAAAGGTGAACCATCGGAAATGATTGACAAAGCATGGCATGCGCATATTTTAAATACTCCGATGTATTTCAAGTTCTCCGAAATGGTCTTCGGTAAATATCTGCATCATTTACCATTTTGGTCGGGTAATATACAGACGAGTGCTAACGCTAATCTTGTGTCTCCAGCGAAATCGGTCTACAACCGTCTTGAACAACTTGGTGTTCAGTACATGAATAAAACTGTTTGGACATTTCGATATCCAAAAATGATGTTCATGGATGATTAGGATTCAAAAATATCAATCGATAATTTTGATATTGACGAATATAAGTTTTGATATTGAATCTAATCTTGTATCTTTTCAGTGAAAAAATTAATTTTAGCTCAGATTTTTTTCTTTCTATAAAACATGTTCTACCTTCACTAAAGATAAATAAAGAGATTGTCATATAAAAAGAAATATGATCTTCTTCGCCTTTTCCTCTTGTCAAAGTCACATCTATATCATTGATAATAAATTACATTGGATTTACGTCACAATGACATTGATTTATTCTTTATTCTATCTCGGTTATCTTATAACATTTTCGAATGCTCACGTATTACTCTATCATACAGAAAACTCACTCTCAGTACAATATTACGATTGTATTTATTATACACGATTAAAAATTCAAGATAATATTCAAGATATTAAATATTGTCGTCAATTCAATGAAAGTCAAACACTTCAACGTGATTTTAATCAATCCTGTCATAATAATGGTCAATTATGGACATTTGAAAAATTATCATCTTTCAATATATCACCATCTGACGTTCTTCAATGGAGTTCAAGTCTCGAACAAACTGATCGTTATTCACAATATTTATCGAATAAATTGTTTGATATGACAAATGCGTACCTATGTAATTGTACAAATCCATCGTCATTTGGAAAATTTTGTGAATATAAATTTTATGGTGATAGTACATTTTTCAATGATGCTATTAAAAAACAATTTCAATCACTTGAACATTTTCCAATGAGTTCAGGCAAGATTCATGTTGGTAGTCAACTTCACAATAATCGACCATGTTATATAACATTGATATGTGATTCCGGATTGATGTGTTTAGATTGGAGACATATCTGTGATGGTGATTAAAATAGAATGTGCTGAGCATTTTTATGATAGATTTCGTTTTTGTTCTGTATTTCTATAGGTAAACAACAATGTATGGATGGTATCGATGAAGATTACTGTGAAAGATTAGAATTTAATGAATGCGAAGATGATGAATATCGATGTGCAAATGGAATGTGTATTCCTGATGAATATTGGTTAGATGGTGATTTCGATTGTATGGATTGGACAGATGAAAAAGGCATTCTCGCTAATCCAGGAGCGAGTTGTTTCAGTACACCTTCATTAATTTGTGATGAACATGTCTGTCAATATCATCAATGGTCATGTGGTGATGGTAATTATTTGCTTTCATTTAATACTTGATGTTTGATTCTGTCTAGGTCAATGTGTTAATCTTGATACTGATCGATTTGAAGGTATTCGAAAATCTCAATATGAATTCTGTCAAAATATGCGAGATGTTAATTATATGTGTGAAGCAGTGACAAGAGATTCGAAATCCTGGTGGACAATCATTAATGGATATTGTTTACCTTATTCATTAAGTTATAGAATATTCAATCTTGATTCACTTATTATTGCAGATCAATGTATATTTGCAATAAAATGTGCATTGAGTGATGGACTTGATCAAGATTGTCATTGTAAAAATTCTACTGAATGTCGTTTATTAATTAATAACACATGTTCAAATTCTTCTCAAATTTATCCAACATCGGGTGCATTACTTACTCCTTATGTTCGTATGGTATATGAACGAGATCGTGACTGGAAGACGAAGAAACCGGATATGATTAGATTTGATGGTCGAACCAAATGTATTGGTTATCAAATGATTACTAAATCTTCTCCACAGTTATCATTTGGTCCCAAGTTTCGATATTATGATTATCGAAAATTAGAAAATACGATTTGTAATTTTAAAGCATTTCGAGGTACTCCAAATTATACCGGTTTACATTATGATAAAAATTGTTGGAATGATTCGAAAACATCAAACAATCATTCTTATCAAGTTTCATTTTTTTGTGAATCAAGATGTATTTCAAAATATCGAATAAGAGATGGAATATGGGATTGTGATAAATATGAAGAAGATCAATCTATTCAAAATACATGTTCACAAATTCAACATCATCGTTTCCAATGTTCATCATCTGAACAGACATGTTTATTAGTTGGTACATTAGGTGATTGGTTTACTGATTGTTCTGATGGACGAGATGAAATCGATGATAATGGTGAAAGTGATACAATTCCATTGATTAATATAGCTTGTAAACAAAAAACTGATCCAGAATGTAATTATCTTCGAAAATATATTCAAAGTTCATCAATGAATAATACGAAGAAAATCATTTCTGTTGATCAATCAACAAGAATCATTTCATTTCGATTATATTGTAATTCATTTTTTGATACGAAATCAGCTATTGATGAATTACCTGACTTATGTCAATCATGGATTTGTTCAATTGATCAATATCAATGTTTATCTGGACAATGTATTCCACAAGAATGGATTTGTGATGGTATATATTTATCTATTTCATATCGTTCTTACATATATATATATATACTATTTAGGTGAATGGGATTGTAGTGATGGATCAGATGAAGAACGTCTTTTAATAATCGATAATTTCAAGGAACATAATTTAAATTTAAAAAATCTAACTCAATTTAAACAACAATGTTATCAACGTTATCAACAAAGTCTAATTCCATTTGCAAATATTTGTAATCTTTCATTTGAATATCCATGTTTTCGAGTTGGTATCAATGATATATTTAATATTTCATTTCATCGTCCATGTATCAATTTAACTCAAATTGGTGATGGTATAATCGATTGTTTAACTGCTCTTGACGAACGTAATCATTTGCAATGTTTACAAAATGGAATGTTAGGTTATCATGTTCAATATAATCACACTCTTTGTATTCCATATGCTCGCACATGTAGTCAACGTTATCCATGGACAATAGGTTCTAATCTTGCTTATGATTCAGTCTGTTTTTATCGTCGACTAATGTATAAAAATGGAACAAATAGTAGTTGTAATACAGACAAAGATGTTTTATGTTTAAATGATATTTGTATTAAAAATGCTAGATGTAATGGAACCATTGAATGTGCTCATGGCGAAGATGAATATCGTTGTGTACCAGAAAATCAATCATCGGTTAAATATCGATCATTCAAAACAATTAAATTTCTGCCAATTAATTTATCAATTTATCCATTTTTAAATAAGAATTCTTCTTTAGTTTTAATTGAAAATAAAACAGATATGAGATTGAATATTATATTTGAGAATGATCTAACTCGAATATTTGATCAAGAGAATTCCAATATTAATCAAACAATTTATGAAAACATTCGTGATAATGTTGAAAACAGTGGAATAACATTTGAAAAAGATTATTTACCATTTATTTGCAATCGTGGTTTAGCATTGAAATATTTGACAGGTCATACAATTTGTTTTTGTCCATCGAATTTCTATGGATTACAATGTGAATATTATAGTGATCGAGTAACTATTCTAACAAGTCTTCAGCAAATTATATTGCGGAATCAAGTAAAAGTTTTAGCAATATTTTCATATGAAAATGAGATAATTGATCTGTATGAATTTTATGTTCATTCTAATTCTTTGAAACAACAAATCTATTTTAATTATCCTCGATTTGAAAAATATTTACATTTCAAACAAATCTATCGAAATGGAACACAATTATATAATATTCGTTTTGAAATCTATCGTTTAAATTCAAATGAAACAATTGATATCATTGGAGTTTGGAAATATTCCATTGAATTCGATTTTCTTCCTTCATTTCGTTTAGCAAAAATTCTTCGATTATCATCATCATCATCATGTTCATCAAATCATTCATGTACGAAAAATGGAATTTGTCAACAAATAATCAATAGAAATGATTCATCATATTTCTGTTTATGTCAAAATGGATTCTATGGACTTTATTGTGAATATTATGATCAGCAATGTCGAGATTATTGTTCATTAAATGCGATATGTAAACCAAAATATCGTGGAATTTTAACAGGAAATCAATCTGAACCGTACTGTTTATGTCCACTATCAACATTTGGTCCAAGATGTTATTTTAAAAACAAATATTGTCAATTCAATCCATGTTTAAATCAAGGAACTTGTTTTATTACGTCGAATTTAGCTAATATCAATGAATATATTTGTATATGTACAAATTTTTATGAAGGTAAACATTGTGAATTCTCGAAAGGAATGGTTAATATTCGAATCAATTCATCATTCTCAATCAATGATATTCTTGCGACAACAGTTTTCTATAACGATTATGATCAAGAAACATTACGTTTTCTCATTCGTTATCAACAAGTTTATTCAAGTTTACATTCACAATTAAAACCAATTTATATTGGTAAAGTTGATCAATATGCACCAATAATGGCGATAATGAAAATCTATCGATTGAATTATGAATCCGAATATTATTTATTATATTATCATCCGAATAAAAAGACTATTAATATAACCGTCGATTTAACATTAGAAAATTATTGTCCATTATGGTATTTAATGGAATCGAATGAAGAGAAGAATTCGACAATTTCAGTATTTTTTTATCATCGTCTTTGTCAATTGAATCGAAATAAACGAAATTATACTTGTTTTCGTGATTGGAATTATTTTTGTATATGTGAATTAAATCATTCTCGTGCTGAATGTTTTGGATATAATCATTCCATTGATCAATGTTCACATTGTGTATCGAGTGGTTTTTGTTTAAAAGAAAAAGTCGATTTTCTTTGTCTTTGTCGACGATGTTCTTATGGACATATGTGTCAATATTCAACAGAATGGATGAGTTTTACATTAGATTCATTAATTATTAAAGATTTAGATAATAATCGACGAATATCTATTATTGTTTATATTATCATCGTTTGTTTGATATTTCTATTTGGATTATTGAATAATTACAATAGTTTTTTGACCTTTATTCGTCCTAAATCACGAAAGAGTGGTGTTGGAAATTATTTACTTATTATTTCGATAATTGATCAATGTTCATTATTGTTATTACTATTGAAAATTATTCATACTATACTTGGATATCATGGAATATTAGTTTTCTATGCCAATACTAATCTTTATTCATGTAAAATTCTTTCTTATCTATTATCTGTTTTAACACGAATTACATATTGGTTAACAAGTTTAATAACTATTGAACGATTATGTTTAGTTTTAATTCCAACATCTTCTCTATCAAAAAATCAACATCGAATTATCATAATGATTATCTTTGTCATTGTATGTTTATTTAGTATGCATATTCATGAAATGATGTTTTATACAATTATTATAGATTATTCTAATTTATCTCGAAATGTTACTCTTTGTGTGACTAATTATACTCAATCATCAGTTTTAACTTATCATCGTATCAATGTATTTATTCATTATCTTATTCCATTTCTTATTCAGATTATTGCAATAACAATTTTAATTATTCAAGTTGCTTGTAATCGAGTACGGATAAGTAATCAAACATTTTTTAATTTATTAATCAAAGAAATTAAAACACAAAAAGAACAATATATAACACCGATGGTTATTATTATTAGTTCATTACCACAAATTATTCTAGCATTTTCATATACATGTACCGAATTGAAACAATCATGGCAACGATATACTCTATTAACAACTTATTTTCTTTCATATTTACCTCAAATGTTAGGTTTTATTCTATATGTATTACCATCAACAACTTATTTCAAAGAATTTCGACAAACACCAATTGGAAAGAGAATTCAACGACAACCACGAGTAGCAAAACCTCATCTGAAAAGGAAGATACTAATTACAAAACCAACTGTTCCAACGGATACATCATCATCACGAATACCAATCAAGAGAACCTGATTGAAGAAATGAGACTTATGCATAGCTGTGGGTGTGAGTGATTACAGAGAGCACACACACACCCTCAAGAATTAAAAAAGTTTCTTTAATTCAATCTGATACATTAATTTGAAATAAAAATTTGAAATCTCTGCGAGAAAATCTATCAGCAGGAAAAAACGATAGGTAGATCACACTTGAAAAGTATTCACATCAACTCATGCGAAATAGATTGATCATTTTTTATCTCCGGTCTTGTTCCTTTTCTTTACATGTTATTTCACACATCTCGTTGCTTCTTTTGTATCAGAAGACTACGCTCAAAGCAGTTAATATGAATAATACAGCAAATCATATAGGTAGAACTGTAACATTAATATTGAAACGTGAATACGAGCCAAGCAGAAGATGTCAACCATCATTGATTCCATCGTGCAAAGGCGGTCTGTAACCATAATGACAGAAAGATGATGAAAGTTCGAGCGATATTTGAATGATAGCATCTTGAGGGTGTGGGTGTGGAAGTAGCAGGGTAGTGTTATAGACTTTAATATAGACTCACACCCACACCCACACTCATCCACCCATACCCACATTCATCCACCCAAACCCACACCCACACCCACACCCACACCCTAATATTGTTTTGCTATGGAGAAACTACTTCCGACTGTTGAGTAATATTGTTTTGCTATGGAAAAACTA